GTCAATGGATACAATTGATCGAACTGGGGACTACTTATATGGTCCTTTACAGGCAATTGCATTGATAATAGTAAGTCGGGTTACTGTCTATTAAACAATTATCAAACCCTGGCTTGCCAAAAGAATTAGGAGGAGGAAAATACATCCATGTTAATACTTCCAAGTTCGAGTTGGTGACTGTTGAAAAGCAGGGTGTAGGTACGACCTACAGAAGTGATGAATAACCTCTGCACCAATTCTTCGCGCCTGGAAGGATGGACAGAACGGGAACAAGAGCCTAAAAGCTTAATAACTCTACCCAAGTCTTCGGGCGTGATTAGATATTCACCACCGGGAGCGATGGCAGCAGTCACATGATCCAGATCTCGTGTTGTCACCCACGGGATGTCCAAGGACTAACTTCAGCTTAACAACCATTGCCTCCGAGTTAATTCCCAAGTGTGTTGATATTGTGGGAAGGGATAGTAAACTGTGTAAAATTAACCAATCATTTCAAGGATGCAATAATTTTCCATTATTATGCTATAGTGGACTGTAGCAACTGTATAGGGCTGAAACAATGCATGGACTGTATAACCATACAAGTAAAATGAAGTTTTCCTGCGAAAGATTTCCGCTAAGCTTCCGGTGTGTAGTCCCCGATGTCCTTCTAGATGATGATGATCTGATTCAGGTGTCCTTCGCGAATGCCTTCGAAGCTTCCTCGTCCGGTCCGGGAACGACGATATGACCTTCGCCAGCGAAGGCTTCCGTGATGTCTGATGGTCCGAATCCACATCAAGGGATGAAACCGCGAAGAAGGTGATGATCTATCCCGCTTCGAAGGCCTTCGCGAAGGCTGTACATCTAGGTCCTTTCGTCAAGGTGGTCCGCGGACTTCTCTTCGCTAAGGTGACATCAGTCCTGGTTGCTACGCTGAGGGGGGGTGCCTCTGGGGTGTTGTTTCCACGCTTGGAGCCTTCGGTTAAGGCTCCGGTCCCTGCTTCTGCAGTCTGTAGCTTATCCTCCATCATGGTCAGTAATTGCGCCTACGCGATCAGGTCCTCAGGGATGGATCTGCACGAAAGGTCGCCGGTGCCTTATTCTGCGGTGTTACCGCCCTAACTTGACAGGGGAGGCCTCTAACCTGGAAGAAAGCAGCCCAATCATGAAGGTTCAGGTTAACTGGACTGTAAGGAGGCTTGCTCTCGCTCACTGATATATAGTTGTCACTTGTGACGTAAGTCTTGAACTGTGAATTAAGATCGACCTCGTGGCGTGAGGTCGCTGTCCATCGTGGTCCAATCAGAACAAGGCATTTTGATTCTGTAGAATACCCGCCTGTGATGTCATCCCGGTGTAGCAGGAAAAAACCTTGTATAAAAATCTTGTGGCGTATGTCGGGATGATGATCGTGGCTGATCATCGTAAAAGACGCCCAGGTCTCGCGGCTGGAACAATCTCTCGTTGAGAAAGTCCTAGTAGACTTCGCTGATTTCCCCTCAGATGTCAACGCTGCCCTCGGTGTGCGACGCCTGGCGCTTGAGTGTTGGTAGCTGATGGGGACCCTCAGGAAGATCATCGAATATCAAAGCGCTGGTACATCAGGCTGCATGCTGATCTGCTTTGACATCACTGGTTGCCGCATCGGTCATTCTTTGATGTAACATCAGGTATGATGATCGGCTGATCATCATACAGGCCCAAACCGCTGTAGAGATGTAGTAGAAAACCTCTAGTCTACGGCCGCGACGATGGGATGTCTGGGGAAGCAGGACGCTTCTTGGAGATGGCGGACTACGCCCCACGCCTCCACCACTCTAGCGAACACCACACGGGAGGGGTCGCCAACAGCAGTAGACTGGCGAGGGTTCAGGTGTATCAGTCATACTAGACTCTGCATACGCTGACCTATCTGCTGCGCCCTCAAACGCAAAGTAAATATTAATAAAAGGTAGAATTGGATAAATTAGTACCGCAACTGCAATGTGAATAAATTGAACATGGCGCAGTACAATAAGGCATATTAAAAGTGGATCAGCAGCAGAATAAAACCGTAATCTGCAATAGTACAAAATTTTCATCAACGTAATCCACTGAAACAAACACGCGTCCCGTGAATAAACTGTAGAAAACGACTAAATATCAATATATAATCGTTGAAGGATACTAGCTAAACTCTATAGATGTCTATAATGCAGGTAACTAACTAAATATAAATCAAAGGATATAGTGTCGGGAGACACAAAGCCTCACGCCCAGCTCACTGGGCTTAAGAAGGAGAGAGTGAGGCACATGGGTGAAGGTGGCTTCTCGCTTTCCACGCTAAGTTCGCAAGAAGAAGACAAGCAAAAGAGCATGAGTCAGGATAAGAAAAATTGTGTTTTACTGATGAAAATACCAAAACTTAGAAAAATAAGGGTAGTTGGACGTTATTTGAAACAAACATTAACTGCCTGTGTTACGCCATCAGCATGCACGCTATCGACAGGTGAAATTGACACCTGAGCACACACGGGCTTAGGGTCATATCAATAGATGTTTTCTGCAAAATGTTGAATATGTGTACGTGTAGTATACGTATCAGTTATGTAAGGGATCATTTGTGTATGTGTGTTTGTTTGGAAATAAACATACGAATTACTGTACATTGGAAAGAATCCTATCACTTGTGTTATCTTATCGATTGATTGTAGAAATGTGCAACGTTTTAATAAATGTTTTGCATGTCAACAGTATATTTCAATGAAAAAATATGGATGTAATTCGGTCAGTTTAATCTAGTTGTGAACATTGGCCAAAGATTTAACGAAGTCACTGGTGTAGCTTCTTTAGAATATATATATTTTTCTTCTCGTAAAGTTTGTAGACCGCCCGTCTCAGCACTCCCTTGTCAAAGTTGTCAAGGATGGTTTAATGTCCCGGTTTTGCATTTGAGACGGTCCCTGTCTTGTCTGATTTGTTTACAATATTGTAAACTTGTTGGTAAGACATGCCAACAGCTCTACAAGTTCTGTAGTTAACTCTTTCTAAACTAATGAAAGGTTTACCTCTGTCTTTTTTAAGCAGAAAAAACTATAAACCTTTGCAACAATCGACTGCAAATCGTTGGCCATAGTGGACGCTGTGATAAAGGTGTGCATGCATGACGGGGAAACTTATTTATCAAGACTTAACATTTATATTAATATTTCTTCAATAAAGAAAACGATAATTTAGTAAAGTAACACAAACATTCAACATTTATTTGTTTAGGAAAAACGTTAATTCATATTTTTACACCACCTGTATTATTAGCATAAATGTAAAGACTATTTCAGATTTCTGTTGTTGAACTCTGAAAAAATCTTAAGTTGCTGTTTTGGTACCAAATTCTATCCTGTAAACTGCCCTTTAAATGCATGGGAATGTTAAATCGATTGAAATAAAAATTAGGTAGACAATAGGCGAGTTGATATATTGACAACATAGTATATTTATCACCTTTATAAAGATATTAAGGCTAAAAAGCATTTTTCTAGCATTTCCGACAGTACTTTAATGCCTTTGGCTCCAGCTTATCGAAACCAGTCTAGATTGTTGTCTTGGTTATTAACCAAAACTTTTCTATATGTTACAGATTGTAGCAAGGTCTAGCACTGTCAGTATTTATACAAAACCATACAGTATTTCACTTAAACACAAAACACTCGATTTGGAAACACATATACCTGATAAATACATATTTCTTTAAATGACAATTAGAAGAGATACCCAAAAATGGGAAAATAAATGAATGCCCACTCTTACTCCTTCATCAGGTGTATAATAACCCTTAACATACATACTAATCTCAAACAATTCAAAGCAATATAATAAAACATGTTGCCATGCGCCAAAATGGAATGTTCTGCCTCTACGATAAACAGCCAGGACATGTGAGATCAAGTCCAAACACTTAAATGTCAAAGTAAAGGCAACATACAGACAGCCCAAACAAGCTGATATATAAGGGCTATAACTCTATAGTACAGTCGGAAATAGAAAAAAACTGTTTTTAGGCTCTTACTCTGTATCCCTAAAATTTACAAAACTGCAAATAGCATATGTCGAAATAACCCACTTCGGCCTAACTTGGCATTCAGTGGGATGCGTAATAGGATATCCAGAAAAAATTTTTACTCGTAAACTCGGGCAAAACTTAGAAAAAATACGAATAGCTGCTGAAAACAATAGATCAGACTATAGATGGCAATTAGGTCGCTCAGCCAGGTATGACGACGGATCGTCGACTCACCTGGCATGAAATGCATGTGCTGCCTACAGGCGTCCAAGGGGTCATCTCAAAGATATTTTGTGCTTTTTCATGTGCATTGACTATGTCTCATCTATTGATTAACAGCTTAAGTGTCTTTCATTCATAAAGTTTATGTTGAGATATGTAAAATAGTTTGATACCTGATAACCATAGAAACGCATCGTATTAAATGTCTCAAAATATATACGTGGCATGACCACCCGATCGCGAAGATCGACAGGACTGGATATTATTTGTAAATTGTTATGACATGCCGTGTACTTCCCCAGTATAATTGCCCTATCGTATCTTAGCTGATATCTCTATCCCCAAGCCCGACCCCAACGATCGTCTGCGACACCTGACCAGGTTTTGCTTTTGAGACGAACCCACCTATCTGTTTCTTTTTATAGTGACAGTGAGACTCCATGGTAGCTACATCCTTAATAGTTCCAGCATGAAAGTTATTATTTTTTACGCCAGCTACCGTTTATAATGAAGCTGCGTCTAATTTCAAATGGTCACTTAAAAAGTGTCCTTTATAATACAATATCGTCGCACACTAATTTGCATACAGCCATGGTCTGTTCCAAATAATTCGTTTTGGACTTAGAAAAAAATCGCATTGCTAATTTCTGCACTAATCTCTCCTCAGTAAAGTCCTTTTTCTACGTTTCTTGTGTCCCTACCATTGAGACTGTAGTTATGCCGAACTTAGTGTAAGAGATATTTCACACTTGCACATATCAACTCCATAAATTGTAGAGATAAATGAGAAAATACAGTTTTTTTCTATTTCCGACAGTAATATAGTGCAACTCGCTAATAATTACCAGTAACTGCCAAGTGGCGATGGTGACATAACAACATTGCAGGAAAAGTGACAGATTTCGACTGATATGGCAAATATAAATGATTAATGAGGAATGGTGGCCCCTGATGTCAGGTCTACTCTGGTCACTGGAATCTCCCCTGTAGTCCTCTACCCCGGCCAACAACTGAAAGAAATATTTGCAACTTGATCAACTTAACATATTCACAACAACGTAAAAAATATTTTTCTTTCAAACGTCAACACTGAAGTTATATATCAAATTGTAATAAAGACACAGAAATCAGACAATTATCAGATGTAAAATAGCTTTAAGTTCAGAAAGATGACAACTAATGAGTAAGCAAATTTGTGCAAAGTTTGAAGTCATCCAAGGGAGGTAACTCTTTCAGTCATTCCACCAACTTGTCTTCTAATACTTGTCACAAGTGGCCTAGTGTCCATCAAAATCAGTTTAGATTGTAAGCGAGTGAATCAGGTTTTACACTGCTTTCAGCAATATTCAAGCAATATCACGGCGGGTGATACCAGAAATGGGCTTCACATATTGTACACATGTGGGGAATCGAACCGTGTCCTTGGCGTGACGAGCAGATGCTTTAACAACCAGGTTACGCCACCGCCCCAGTTTAGACAGTAAGAATACTCATGTTGTATACAAGATATATATACTTGTACTGTTTTTTTCTAGATACTTTCCCTCAGATGACAATCACGTTGCAGGTTATCATTACAGATGTGATAATCTAGGCTTGGACCCACCTTGTTTGATATACAGGTGCAACTGATCAGAATTCTTTGAACTGTGACCCACACCATTGGCTGCTGACCTAGCACTGTCTCTCTCCTGACTTTTTCTGCCTGACAGGATTCTCTGATAGGAATCTGACTCAACTCCAGAATCAACAGCAACAACATCAGACTCGGACTCGGAAGAAGCTGACTTACTGCGACCTTGCAGCATACTCATGGCGTCCATCATGGGTTTTGCAACAGTGTGATTTTCAGCAGAAGAATGACACCGACTTGATAACACAGAAGATAAATTACAAGGCTTGGGTTGAGTCCTTTGTTGACATGATATGTTTTGGGGAGGGGTTTTGTTGTGTTCTTCTAGAACTTTCAGAGGTTTGAACCTTAACTCTGCTTCAGGAAGAGATTGATTTTGTGTTGAGGAACCAGGGACTCTTTGTGGACGAGCCTTTGGACGAGCATTTCTTGGTCTTACAGGACCATGAAATGTTTGATCTTCCCTAAACTCAACAGAGTTGGGTGTCCCAACATCTTTATGAGAATCAGAAAGAAGAGCATCACCACCACAGTGATCAGGAGAACAATCAACATGAGCATGGTCCGAACAAGAGATATCAACATACTCAGTACTGCAATTATGATGAGCATGTTTTTCACTTTCAGGCAAAAAAGTCCCTGGCCTGCTCTCCTTTGACCTGAGTTTGTCAAGAATGGAAGACAGGCCCCTGCCCATGGGAGGCTTGTATCCGTTTGTAACACCCAGTCTAGCTAGGGAATGATTTGGTGAAATTGAACTGGAGGTATTTGTCAGTTTATCCATTGTCATGGAGGAGTTTCTAAATGCTGCTGGTGATTGTTGACTTGCTGGAAGACTACAATAAGAAGCCTGGTTTAATTGTGGATCAACATGGACGTTATCAACATCAGTATCAATTAAAGCTTTTGTTTGGCTGCCATCATTGGTTGGAATGTGAAGCATGTTCTTTAACATTGAAGTCAGTTGTTCACAATGCTCACTGTCCTTGAGCGGAAGTTTTTCACAGTTATCTGAATTTGATATCATCCCTTGTTCAGCACAGACATTGTGATTTGTCGTTGCTTCAACTTCAGAGGTAGAAGATTCACTTTCTGATGTATCCTGATTTGAAGAAGAGGTGTCAGCATTCACATAATGACCTCCCTCAGATCCAAGAAATCTTAAAAATAGTCGTTTTCTTTCACTGTCAGAGCTATAACTACTATTGCTTGAATCTTCATCGCTTGATCCACTCATTACATCACTTAGACTACAATGTCTACAGTCTGTATTTTCCTCGGGATCGGACATTGGTCCCATCATCATTGCATCAAGAACACCCCTCCCCATGGAACAGATTGTTTTGCCATCGATCACACTGTTTCTTGTGTCATTGACTACATTTTTGGGGGTGTCATTTCTCTCACTCTTCGTGTCATCAACTGCGCTCTTTCTTGAATGGTTTCTCTTGACATTGATGACACCATTTCTTGAGCACTCTTCACTCTCTGACAATAAACCCACTTGTTTTTGTCTGACATGAGACTGCATAAAATTCCCCGACACAGTTTCACCACCTTCATTTTGATCTGAAGAGATCCTCTTATCTAACTCTGTGGCTGTTTCATCCTCCCCAGAACTGATGCCACATGTTCTGTCACTACAGGGTAAGTTTGAGTCTGACTGTGATTCATTCAAATCTGACGCACATGCCATCTTTTCCTCTAAGCCCGATGACAGCCCCTTAGTCTTCTGGATGGCATATGTGAGATGTTTTACAAATGTTTTCTGATTCCCTCCCCTAAGCTGGGAGCTGGCACCCTCTGAAGTTCCTGAGTCAGGAGCAGACAGACTTTGCAGGTCATCATCTTCTTGCGCAATGGAGACAACATTTTCCAGGATAATCTCAAGATTCTCGAAAAATGTATCAGTTGTTTGAGTTGGAATCCTTCCATTTGCTTCACTGTAAAATAACGTGTCAGTGTGACAACTATGCCATGGCACATATTAATCACTACACATGTTCCAATACTTTGAAGGAGCTAAGTCATCAATCACAAGAACCAAAATACATCTTAACATGATACATCATTTTCATTGTGAAAAATGTCACAAATGTCTATTCATTAAAATGTTTAGGTTTAAGGGGTCAATTAAGGCTCCAAAATTTGTTTTGAGACTTTAAGTATATATTCTTAAATTATCGTCCACATTAAATTATCAACATACATTTACTTTCATGGGTCCCACTTGGTTGACACTTTTTTAATAATTCTGCTTTAAATTTGTGTCAGGCGACTTCTGATTTGTAACTATTAGTGTAGAGCTCTAAGTATGCCATAAGCTGCATAATTTAAAAGCAATATCATGTCTAATTAAGAATACTTCAGATGTAGCACCTTGTGCATGCATTAGTCACTGCAATAGACTCCAGTTCATGTCCATGTGGTGACTGTTATCAGTCCCTAATAGAGATGGGTAAAAGCATTGGTACACAAATTAAACAGGACACATTTGTTCATAAGCATCACCTTTTCAATAACTTCCTCTTGATTTGAGAGATGGTCTTTAGCTGCTGACCTATGAGGTCTCCCTGAAGGACACACGTCTTGCGGCACTTCAGCTTGTTGATGTCAGCCATGAGCTTCTCTACATCAAGTCTATTGCCTGTGATTAAGAGCATCAGTTCATGGTTAAGCACAGCATCGGCCATGTATTTTCTGTATGTTATGTGCTTTATTTCAGTAATGTTCCCCTCTGTAATACAGCTCGTAAATAATCAAATCCAAACCAGGCAGTACTGATTCTGATTAAATTCCCTCTTATGCAGGAATAAACCTAGGATGTGTTTCTGCGGCATTTCCGCATCAAAATATGATTTGTCGCTGACAGAAATTTGGGTTGCGTTCTGTGGACACAAAATATCTGAAAACGCCGCATCCAAAAAGTACAAGTGCGGCCTAAGTAAACATAATGCAGTAAATATTGTTATCGTTCGCCTCAAGATTTTTAAGTGAACCAGTTTTACTCCACATGCAATAATATCCCAAACTGGTTGTTGTAATAAGTTCAGCCAGTGAGTGAGTATGTGAGTTCAGGTTTACGCCACACTCAACAATATTCCAGCTATATGGCGACTGTCTGTAAATAATCAAGTCTGGACCAGACAATCCAGTGATCAACAGTATGAGCTTCGGTCTGCGCAATTGGGAACTGATGACATGTGTCAACCAAGTCAGTGAGACTGACCACCCAATCCTGGTAGTTGCCTCGTACGACAAGCATGGCTTAATGAAGGTTCATTCTTACCTGGACCTTCACGGGTAGTTCAGCCTATGAAAGTGTGTGTTTCTACTCTTTCATTTCCCAGCTGTCACTGTCTAACCAGACATTATGAGCAGTGGTCCATGCTGTTGGGGTATGATAACATGCTATCAAACTTGTCATAAAGACTGACCACTCAATCTGTTTGGTCACCTCTTACAACCAGCACAGTTTTCTGTGAACTTATTCAACATAGAATCTCACAGATGAATTGACCCATCCTTAACAAAGGGAGGTAACTCCATACATGACTACGACAACATGGGGGCCTTGGTAAGCTGTCTGACAATGCATACCTGTCTGTAGGTTGATCTCAGTGCAGGAGTCTCGCAGTCGACTCTCACTCAGCAAGTTGTCCATGGACATGCGGGTAATCTCCACCGGTCTGGTGGGCGGGGCATGTTTGACCCTCCGATTCGGTGAGTCTTCCAGGTGACCCTCTGACATAAGAGTGTGAGTAAATGAATATCTTAAAGCTAAATTAATGAATAAATAATAATTAACACGATCCAGACAGGAATTTATCTCTACCTGATTGGAGATTTATATCTGATCAAAAATCAACAAAAGCATCATTAAATTCCCAAATTGTAAGCACAATTTACTTATTTTATGGCTTTGTTGAGATTACTTGTTTTCACTGATAATATGACCAATAATCAGAGAGCTGTTTAATGCTTAGTTGAATACTTTTGCATTGCATACATTCTACAAATTTAGGACTTGCATGAAATTCAATTTTATTCCCAAAATTGGCTACTGGGCTCCTGTTCAGAATCCTGGATAAATCGCTGCCAGTTAAAACAAGCCTCAACACAAGGTTCATCAATATTTGACAGGTATGATTAACAGGAAGAACCATTTATTGTTAGGTCTATGCATATTGTGCATCTAATCACATTAGGACAGAAATGAAAAGACATAGGGTTTTCCCTCAAAGATAAGACAGGACTGCGGCTTTTCTTGCAACACATTGATGGACGACACAGAGTGATCATTAGGTAACATACCAGCCACCAGTTTGAGCCTAGTATCAGAAGCAAGTTCAACACTGAGCGTCCACCCCTTCAGTGACCATTGGTCCACTTCTCTCACAGCAGTCAGTGCGGCCTGGGGGTCAGTGAATCTCACAAACCTGTGGAGAGAGAAGATTTAGGCTGCTTCAACATCACCCAGGAGGAAAGTCGTCAGACCTCAACATGCTCAAGTAACAGGGAATATTACATTCCCTCTCTGTACATTTTCACAGTGCAACATTGTGATCAAACCTACTTCTCAAAACAAATAAACCATTACAGTAAACACTACTGCCCTCAGTTTGTCACGTCAAGTCTACAACAACCAGGGCTCCAGATAAGTTTTAAACATCAGGAGTACATACTCCTTGTTTGTTCCATATAGGAGTACTTGAAAACCTTAAGAGTATATTTAGAGTACTGAAAGACAACTAATGGAGTGTCAGTAATCTTGTGTTTCGTTTCATATATGCTCCATAACACTGCTACTCTTGTGTAAACAGGTCAATGAACAATAAAAGTATACTTTTTCAGATAAATACGTCTGTAAATGATTCCCCATTGCTGTGGTGTGTATATGCTACGTTTTTGAAATTATTTCCTACCGTATCAAGCATATGTTTTATCTGTACATACACCAATACAGGGGTGGATATAACCCATTGCCCAACGTCCGAGTCCAGTGTTTTTTTCTGTCGGGCAAGCAAATTTGTATATCACACTGTACTGGTGTCCAGTTGACTTTCCAATGTTAATAATGTTGTTTATTTAAAAAATCAACCAGAAAACTGCTGGTATAGTGGACAAATTATCAGGGCAAGTGATTTTACATGTTGCACTGTACCGGAGTACACTAGCAATTTTAAAGTTATTTCCATCCCTGCAATATTGCCCTTATCTGGAGCCCTGAACAACCAAACCACAATGGTAATGGACACCACACATACAGGGTTGGTGTCTTGGCTGCTTGAGTGTCAAAGTTCTGTGGATTGTTACTCACATTATCAATCACTGGATTGTCCGGTTTAGATTTGATTATTTATAGGTTTGTCGTCAGATAGCTTGAATATTTGCTCAATGCAGCATCAAACAATGCAGAAAACTTCAATCGTAATAATATTGAAACATTTGTTCCAGAGCACAGTTCTAACAGAGAACTAGAAGGAAAATCTAATTCAAGTTTGATTAGACTGACTGACTGAGTAAGGTTTTACGCCGTTTTTAGCAATATGCCAGCAATATCAAGGCAAGGGACACCATAAATGGGCTTCACAAATTGTACCCATGTGGGGAATCGAACCCGGGTCTTTGGCGTGACGAGCGAATGCTTTAACCACTAGGCTACCCCACCACCCCAGTTTGATTAGAGGTGAGGTGAAATTGGGTTTAACGTCGTGCTTGAGAATATTTCGCCATATGACGACGTGCATGCGTGTGTATGTGCGGCTGCTTGTACTAGCCCAGACTGAAGCTGGTTTTATAGTGCTAGCTCACTGAGATACCATGCCGCAGTGAAGCATGAATAGGAATACCCCACTCAGACATATTATACTGACTCTGAGCCGACCAGTCCTTGTTGTACCCATTAATGCCGAGCGCCAGGCAGGGACCAACAAGTACCATTATTTTAACGATCTTTTGGTATGACGCAGTCGGGGATCGAACCCGCGACCTTCCGCTCTCCGGGCGGACACTCTAACCACTACACCACGGAGGCGGTTAGTTTGATTAGAAGATGAATGAGGTGATTATGTGAACTACTCACCCATAGACATATGGACCTGGCACATGATTGGCAACAAATGTCCCTGAGATAGGGCCACAGTGCTTGAAGAGTTCATACAGTTCGTCCTGAAATAACAAATGGACATGCACAGTGAAGGGGTTTACCTTGACCAACAAAACAACACTGAGAGTTCCAACATACCTCATACCTAGCTTTTTGTTTCCTGTCAGTATCACTGCCTGTTTCACTGTGATCGCATGTTGAAAAGAACACAATTCTGCTGCATAAACTTTGAGTGTTGTGCCCACTGTCGTTTCATGAGGGTAACTTGGTCAGCGGCATTTTGTTTGTTGGTTGGTTCATGACACAGCAATATTCCAGCCACAGAGACAGTACCAGGGCTCCAGATAAGGGCTGTATCGGCGTATGTACGGATAAAAATATGCACGATACGGTAGGAAATAATTTAAAAACCGTAGCAGATGCGCACCACAGCAATGGTGTACGGTCTTAGAATCATTTACAGACGTATTTATCTGAAAAAAGTATTGTTTTATTGTTTATTGACCTGTTTACACACAAGTAGCAATGTTGTGGTGCATATATGAAACGAAACAAGATTACTGATAGTCCATTAACTTCCATTCAGTACTCTAAATGTACACTTAAGGTTTTCCAGTACTCAGTATTGAACAAATAAGGAGTATGTACTCCTGATGTTGAAAAATTATCTGGAGCCCTGAGTACTGTATATAGACTGAAATATATTCCTTAACAGCCAAGCTGACAAAGGCGACACACACTTGTGAGCAACTAGAAACAGGTTATGGGGTAATATCATACCACTGACCAGATACATTACCATTGTCTTTTCCAGTAAGTCATGTCTTGATACTATTTTCTCCTTACATGAGATCTCATGCGAATATTTTACAAAGTGACTAAAATCAGCTGATTGTCTTTCTGTCAGGAAAATGTCATTTAGCTAAATGATGGAAATGTTTGAATTCAGGTCAAATGAAGAGCAGTCAGAGACGTAACGTGTACGCCAGACGACCTATTGTCTCCTGTACGCAATACAGGTCTGCTCTGCGGTACTAAGTGAAGCGCTTGACCCTAATTAATTTAATCGCTATGAAAAGCCTGTTGGTGGAGTCACCATAAAGACATCAAAAATGTGCATTTGTAGTGTTTGCTATGATACTGCCAACATTACTTCATTCAACTAGGCTGGTTGTATAGAAAAGGATAACTAAGCATTGTAGTAACATGCTTGTTTAACACAATGCTGGTTCTGCCAGGTAGCTGCTAGGCATTATAGGCCTTCCTGTGCTAAAACTAGATCTGTGACAACATACGTAAACCAACAGTTAGAGCCCCAGGAAATACTATCAAGAGTTACATACCTCTGTGGTCTCCCTGCACAGACGGCTAACAAAGACGGAGTAAGTTCCATAACTTCTCCTCTTGTCTCCTCCACTCATGCTGCCCTGGTTGATGGCTGCACCTGCGTCATGCCCTGAAACAACCAGGGTTGGATAGTAGCTGCCAAAACAGATCAGCACCAAATGGAACAAATAATTCAATATAATGCATATTCCAGTCAACAGGCCTGTGATCATGCCGTTTAAATTTTGTTTGTTTATTTGTTATCTGACGCTGTATTCAGCAATATTGCAGCAATAAGGCCGCAGTTTGTAAATAATTGAGTTTTGATCAGACAACCCAGTGATCAACAGCATGAACATCAATTTACACAAATGGGATGCAATGACATGTCATTACTGTCAACCAAGTCAGCGAGTCTGACCACCTGATCCTGTTAGTCGCCTCTTACAACAAGCACTGGTTCTAACCAGCATCGACCCGTAACATCAAGGTTGTTTCCTTTTAGCCAGATGCATATTATGGGTTTATTTATTGATGCAAAGTATTTTTTCAGGGAAATAGTGAATTTGTTAAAATTATGTAAAAGATGTGGAATAGTTTACATAAAACATACAATTTAATTCTCATTTCTACTTATTACTCTTTCAGGCAGACCTTTCCTTTGAATGGGTTGTAGTCAAATGGGCCAAAACAAAAGTCAAATGGGCCGAGGCCAAAAGTCAAATGGGCCAACATCAAAGTAAAAAAGGCCGAAAAAGTGGGCCAAAATAAAAATTTAATAAATTAAATGACAAAATACTGAAATAGTGTAAATAGTGTTTAGTTTGTTGTTGTTATTTTAAATAGAATTTGAGCATGTGACTCAAATGTTTTCATTGTTAAGTGTCTTGACTCAGTGTCATGACTAATCTGTATAGTGTGCAGTGTTCCAAGACTGTAAGAAGCTGTCCATAGCTGAGGATGTTATTGATATTGCTATGATATTAGGCCAAATAAAAAAAATGTTGTGGTTCCGATTACACCTTTTAAATTTAGGGAAGGTAGGTAGGAAGGAATTTTGGTTTACATTTTTTTAGAAGTAAAGTGCGAACTAATAGCACATTTATCAATGTGTAATTGTTTATTCAATCACGCTTGCCGCCATTATGTTGACTTTGCTTATTTTATTTCATACCTCGTAAAAAAACTAGGGTCAGCACCAGAATTCAAGGGTCGGTTCGGTAATCTGAACCACAACATTTTGTTTTTTAGGCTTTATGTTTTAATGCTATATATGTCAATAAACAATGAAAAACATTTGCAAACTTTTTTTTGTTCGGCCCATTGGACGTTTTCCATCGGCCCATTTGGCTAGATCCCCCTTTGAATGACTGTTGGAACCACTGTACAGAGCTGCATATTTCATGTCATCTCAAATTTTGTCATTGTTTGTTGAAGATAATTGTCTACGGATTAAAATCAGATGCAGAGTTTAACCCAAACTCACAAATATGGGGATCACGGGCAATTAATAGAGAGTGAGTTTACTTTGCATTGGCAATATTACAGTCATATAGTGATGAGGGCAATTAATAGTTTTAAGGGTCCTAGTGTGCAATATGAAAGCCCTGTGAAGATTTAGTGTAGAGAACTGTAGGTTTTAAACTTTCTTTAGAGCTTGGAATGACTCACTGATCATGTGAACTGATTGATGAAAGGATGCACGTAACTGCTATGAAAGAAACTACCAAACATTTAGCAAAGTCATAGATGTGTTGTGGGTACAATGAATTATATTGTCCCTCTGTACATAGCGAATTTTTTTGTTGCATCCATCCTTAACAATAATGTGAATAATGGACACAAATTTATGCATTGCATAAGACGCTGCATATGCCATTCTTTTGTTGTGCATGCAACACGAGTGTTTAAAATTCACGCCTGCCCAACCGCCCGGAACAGTCTATTTTCATCTCAGACAGTCAAATTTCAAAAGTAGCCTGTCCGGTGGTCTGGTAGATGTTTTTACCATTAACAGTAAATATTTCATAATATCAGACAGGTTCTCTTGTCGTCAGTTTGAGGTGTTTAAGTTATTATGATAATTATGTTGAACTATTCACGATTGGACAATTCATTTTATACTAACTAATCACAACACATGTACTTTCAGTTTACCTAAACTCGGTGCATTGCCTGTTACTGCTATGTTGGTCATTGCGATGCCTACAAGCAACAGTAAAGTATCAGAAACCTGATTTATTTATTTTTTAAATTTTATTGTTGAAAACCGTACAGGCGAGATTGTATCAGGACTGGTAATTTTTAAAGTTACCAGTCCGGCGGTCTGGCTTGGAATTTTGGGAGTTTTAAACACTGGCAACACACATGTCATTTGGTCACTTTATTGTTCAACATTGATGGTTGGGTCCTGTATCGGTCTTTTGACATCTCATCTTGCAACATGATCATATGCATTCAAATGCAAATACACATAAACCAATTGTGGTTATGTATATTCAACATATCAAAGATGAATTGGAAAAGTGTAAACAAATGGGGTAGGGCATCTCTCAAAAACACAACAGTGTATGCAGTTTGATGTAAATCTAGTTACCTTCAGCGTGGTGAGGCACATAAGTATTCTCCCTAACTAGGTCCACTGGCTGGGCACACACAATCTCCAGGGCGGATACAGCTGTTTGGTGTGTGTGTGTGTGGGGGTGTTTGGTTTGTTTGCACACTTCATTTTACGAGAGTTTCAATGGTCATTTAATAAACTTTTAGGACAAAAGGAGGGTGCGCCTAGGCTTTCCAAGTAATTAATTCCACATTGCCCTGTAAAAATGTTATAAAATAATCAAATAATTAAAAAAGAAGATCAGTGCCAGTGGCTGCCACCACCGTCCCTTCGACCCCCATTAATAAAGAAAAAAACAACCTATTTTTTTCTAGCTGCAGTACCGAAACGGATTTATACTTATGCATTCAGTGCGAGATGAGCACTAAGAATTATATTCTCTGGAGACAAAAGCAGAATGTAACACTCACTCAATCGTTTCTCCTCTCCGCCATTCTCCCGCGCTATGACGACAGCAGGACAGGAATACCTGGATTGCTTGTGCTAGACTAAATGCGAATGTGTTCAGATAATGTGAGGTGATTCCAACACCGCTGTTCTACAACTTTGGTAGATAGTCACTGCATTGATATCACATTAGCACTTGAACTGCCCATGTCCCCCATGTTGATATTCAGAGGCAAAGAAAACGCACATTTTTATGAAGACGGCTGCACCAATACACTACGTGAAGATTATAGGTCATACGTATATATCTGGTGGGAACCGAAGTTAGATTAACGTTTCATGCTCTCATTGTAAACAAACTAATTAATCCGCCACGTGCAGACAAGGTGGGACAAAGCGGGTCATTCTGAACTGGGCCCCGTCTCTTTTATCCTCAGCGCCTTTTGCGAAACTGGTTTTGCACTCTCCTACCCAGAGTTCCATGCGGCAAGCCAGCATAAGTCATCGCTGTGCCGGAGTGTGCGGGTTTTGGTTTCTGAAACTGGTTTCTCCTGTTATAAACGAGTGTCCAGTTTCGGCAAAGACCATATGGTTTCGGATACATGGTTTCAAAGTGAAACGAATTTCTACTTGTTTTGTTTTAAAACAAGTGGATGGTTTCATCATCCGCATAGGCGGATCCAGAGGGGGGGTGCAGGGGTGCGCACCCCCCCTTTTGTCCTGAAATTTTATTAAATGACCATTGAAACTCGGGTGAAAATGAAGCGTGCACCCTCCCTTTTCTCAATAGTGTGCACCCTCCCTTTTCTCAATAGTGTGCACCCCCCCTTTCTCAAAAAGCTGTATCCGCCCCTGATCCGGATTCAAAATGGATGCCAAAAAATGTCTCAGCTACTATATATGTGCAGGGAGACTATATAACGTGTGAGTGTGAGCAGGGGAGAGGCCGTGTCTGCTCCCCAGAGTGAAAGCAGGGGAGCGGCCGTGTCCACTCCAAAAAAAAAATAAAATAAAAAATATATATATATATATATAGTGTATGTACACACAAACACTCGTGTACTTACACCCACGCGTCCCAAAGAGGGACAACCATGCGACCCGAAGAGGGTCAACACAAGCTGGGACAGCCATGTCCAGCCACACCAGGTGTGACACACCAGACCAGCCCCAAGGGACGCTCCAGTCCAGGCCCAAGAGTCCCACGGAGGGACACTCCGACCCAAGCGCCCCAGGAGAGACGCCCAGACCCAACGCCACGAAGACAACCCGGTCCAGTCCCAAGGAGGGACACCGCCACCACACCCACGAGTCCCAAGGAGGGACACCCCACGCATCCCAAGGAGGGATAGGTCTGCCGACATGCCAACCGGCGAAGGCGACCTCCAAAGCATCTAACTCAACAACAACAACTATAAGGGGGAGTGGTCACTCCTCGAAAAGCCCCTAAGCGTATGCCTCGGCTCGTCACGTGACCAGTGTAGCCAATATGACGGCAGCTTAGTTTTTAAAGGTCACATAAACCCTAGGGGGTAAAAATACATAAATCACTAACTCGCATCATTATAAATGAAACCCCGTCATTAAAACTACTCATTTCGACCTTTAATTGACTTAAATCGACCTTTTTGACAACAGTGCACAATTCTCACCCGCGAACGAAATTTCAACCAATCAGAGCGGCGCGACTCTGTGACGTCATATGAGGAATAGCTAGGAGGGCCTGTGCAGAATTCATCTACATTTTAGGGGTTAAATTATCTTGTTTACAGGCTTGTATAAACCTGAAATCGTGACAATTGTTGTGGAAAATGAAAGCTATATGTTCTCACAATCTACTGTCATTTAATTTTGTCTCATGCTTTGCCTAGTTTCCGAGTTACAACTTGTTTTCATAGACGATTCTGTCAAAATCGATTGGTGTCGTTAGGCCCTATTTGTATAATGACTGATCCAAATTGATCCCATTTCTGTGTTTTTTACCTCGATATTTAATCATGTCATGTAAAAATCTGTTTGTATTCTCAAAACAGTGTCGGCCCATAAGTTTTCACATGCAATACAGCAATTAATACTCCCTTGTTGTAACCCGTGTTAGGTGGTATAAACCTACACATGTTATTTGTCATCATTCACTTGATGGTCAGTTAATGAATTTATAACAGGTATAATTAGTGGTAACACACTTAAATTACCCGACAAAGGTTCCCATTTGGCATTTCTTGTGTCTGGAGTAAATATTCAACATTATAAACATCGATCAAAGGATTAACCGATAACACGCTGATTGATTAATTACTTTTATCTTACACAGCGGAATTGTCAAAAGGTAGTGTTTATGTACGTAGATTTACTAATCTATACTGAATACACTCTGTCGTGTCGGTGTCTGCGTAAAACAACGTCCTTCTTTCAAAGGATTAACCGGCAATACATTGATTGATTGCCCATTATTGGCTAACTAAATTACTGTTTTTAAAGAAAAACAATTAGCTGCCAGGTGTGCTATCTTGGGTGACCAATGAGACTATACACCAATACCTGAAAAGATTTATCACTTTTTCGTATATTAAACTGTTAAAAGACACATCATTTGGAACAGTTTTGTGGATATTGATGGATACATTCCTCGAACAAGGTAATGGCCTGATATTGTTCCTATAACTTTAATCTGTTTTAATTTTAATATTTGCATTTTGTTTTTATTCATTTGTCGTAGCATTCAACAGAATCATTGTTTTCGCCGTGAAGTGTAATGAGACAGACAACATGCACTAGGGTGTGTGTGCGAATTATGATTCACATTGGCAAACTATAAAATGTCTAGATATTACAGTTCTGTTATAAATTCACTATAAGTATCAGCAGATCGTCTGCTTTTTATTTAGTTTCAAAATGCATACAAGTATGATAATAAACTAATTAGGATTATAAGACCAAATATAAAGACGCACATTGACTAGTATCTACATACTGGTGAGTGGACATTAACCATGGGAATGTAGCAAGAAATTTATCGCGTAGTATTGTGACTTCGACCCCACCTCGCTTCCGTGGAAGAAATCGTTATGTTATAAGTTGTGTCATGCAAAATCCGTTTGGTTATGATTCCAATACATATTTAACTACGAGTAGAAAGTAGTCTTGATTTTCTAACTTGATGAAAACAAACTATAATCTCCCTTAATTCTAACAGATTTGTTATTTTTAAAAATGGCGGCGCCCTGTCGGGAACATCCGCCAGTCTGAGGATAAATGGTATTTAGGTTTGTTTCCACCGAGTTACAAAATCAAAACTACTTTCTACTGATAGTAAAATATGTATTTTATTGATGGCCAATAGGATTTTGCATGACAAAGCGTAAAACATAACAATTTCTCTCGTGGCAGCGAGGTGGGTGTCAATATAATACTACTTACAATATTATTGTTACTTCGACCACAACCTCACTTCCTAGGAAGAAATCGTTATGTTACAAGTTGTGTCATAGAAAATCTTTATGGTCATCAATCATATGCATATTTTACTATAACTAGTAAGTAGTTTTGATTCTTTAACTTCCGTGAAGCGATCTGAACACAAGTAAGATATCGTTTCAGGCTTCCACAACTCTCGCTTCGCACTCACAAACATAACCCATTTAGCACGAACTGCGGGGTCCTGTGGAAATCTGTGCATGGGGACACCATCGCCCGACCCCTAGGAGCAATTGACGACAAAGCAACGATTCAGCATGTCGTCGTTGATGTCGAGAAATCATCAAAATGATGAGCGTGCTACACATTTTCTATACAACTAACTGAAAATCGTTCCTCATATGACGTCACTGCAGTGCTCTGGCGACAGAGTTACGTAACCTGTCTGTGGTTTCGTTGGCGGGCGAGAGGGAAGCAGGCGACTTTTTGGCAACTTTTAATCGCTCGGTATTAAATAACCACAAGTTTTTAAAGAATAAATTTGGTGTTCCGCATAAGACTAACCACAAATCTTTCATATGTAATGGTTAAAAGAGTAACAAAAAACAAAGTTTAGTGGTTCTTTAAGATTGAGCCCGATTTATTTTCAACAGCTGATTACATTCGCTGAGTGTTGTGACAACTGAAATTCTATATGTAGAAGACAAGTTACCTATTCTGTCACTTCATTTTAAGTCAAATAATTGTTATTAGTGTCGGTATTAGTACAGTAGATTTGTAGTAAAGTTTCAAGTCGGCATGTTATAGCTCACTGGCTTCAATTCTCGGTACACAGCGAAGAAAGACTATATTCTACCGCTAAAAACTTCTTTCACATATTCGTTTAATTTTTAGAAGGGAAATATACCTTTAGTTGGAAAGTGTTTGCAAGTAATAGTGATATTTTTATAACTTTAAAAAAATTGTTAGGGTGTATTTGAGGTGTGTGAAAAATATGACATATCGCCGATCTCCCATTGAAATACTACAGGGCGTTGTTTGAGTGTGTCTAGTTATTATTCTAAAAACCTCTTTCACATACACCTTTAATTTTTATGAGGGGAATATACCATCAGGTGAAAGGTGTTTGCAAGTAATAGTGATAGTTTTATAATTTTAATAAATTGTTAGGGTTTATTTGAGGTGTGTGAAAAATATGACATATCGCCGATCTGATCTGATCCGCCATGAAATGATGCACGTAACTGCTATGAAAGAAACTACCAAACATTTAGCAAAGTCATAGATGTGTTGTGGGTACAATGAATTATATTGTCCCTCTGTACACAGCGATTTTTTTGTTGCATCCATTCTTAACATTTGTGAATAATGAACACAAATTTATGCATTGCATAAGACGCTGCATATGCCATTCTTTTGTTGTGCATGCAACACCAGTGTTTAAAATTCACGCCTGCCCGACCATCTGGAACGGTCTATTTTTATCTCAGGCAGTCAAATTTCAAAAGTAGCCTGTCCGGTGGTCTGGTAGATGTTTTTACCATTAACAGTAAATATTTCATAATATCAGACAGGTTCTCTTGTCGTCAGTTTGAGGTGTTTAAGTTATTATGATAATTATGTTAAACTATTCACGATTGGACAATTCATTTTATACTAACTAATCACAACACATGTACTTTCAGTTTACCTAAACTCGGTGCATTGCATGTTACTGCTATGTTGGTCATTGCGATGCCTACAAGTGTTTAGAAACCTTATTTGTTTTTATTGTTGAAAACCGGACAGGCAAGATTGTATCAGGACTAGTAATTTTTAAAGTTACCAGTCCGACGGTCTGGCTTGGAATTTTGGGAGTTTTAAACACTGGCAACACACATGTCATTTGGTCACTTTATTGTTCAACACACGTTTATCATTTACTAATACCCAACAGCTTTCTTATATTTGAAAATTTTCCGGACTCCACCAAAAAAGTTCTTTAAGAAACCGACTAACGGGATCGGGTAGTCAGTTTCGCTGAC